ATTAAATCGATTAAAAAAAAAAGAGAGAAAAAACAAACCTGCAGTTTCGGCTTTCAAAAGTCGAAGTTTGCAACATTGTCGGTGGTCGCCACTATCTGCATATCTACTAGCTGCATTGTAGTTACCGCAAGATAACTACAGTGACAACGCCAAAGGCAAGAAATCGCGTGACCCGAATATTGTTAATGGCGCGCTGGTAAGCTCTCCCGAAGCGGAATTGCGTGCTGCATCCGAACACGGGGATATAAATCAGCTGTTCCACGACTTCCGTAAACGCGGCCGCACGCGCGCGAATATTAATCAACGTCATCTGAATCTCGAAACGCTGGCACGCTTTCTTAATCGTCATCGGCCTGGTTAACGCGCCAATGTCTCTGTCCTCTGAATTATTGTTTCGCGTGACCTTAACTCTTTTGAGCAAGGAGTAGAACCATGCTTCTACTTCTGATCTCGTGCCATTCTCGATATTGCGATTTTTCAGCGACCGCCACACCGGTTCCCCAGGATTCTTTTCAATCACACCTTTCGATAGGTAAAACAGACGTTTTCGCCTTTTAATAAGAGTAATGCTTTCGTATGAAATTGGAAATATAGTAGAATTACAGTAAATTATAGTAAATAATGATTTAGGATAATTATTAGAGATGCTGATAATAATTTTTGTAATAACAACGAAATCCTAGTAATTTGAGAATTTACGCGTATTCATTGTGAAAAACTTTCATTGTACGAATGAAAACTAATGATGAAGTTGTAATAAAATTTCATAATAACGCGATTATATAATTGCATACATAAGAGCAAGCAAGTGAAATTTTTCAATACGTAATAATTTAAGAATTGAAAGCAACGCGAATGCTTAAATTGAAGAAAATTAAATTAAAGTTCCCGTTGTACGAGCGTCTGGGAAACATGGCCTGTTTTCTAGTGCATGAAACACGTACGTACGACAGAGAGAAACTGAAGTCAAAGAAAATTGCGGCAAAAAAAGGCTAGAGAATTAAAGATAAGACTTGAAAGGGAAAGAAAATACAGTTAAATAAATCCCCAAGTACCATTCGGACAACAAAATTTACAACAACTCGGAAGGAACAGCAGTTGGAAGTAACTTCAAAGAAAATAGGGGAAATATAATACTATACAAATTACGGAACAAAGAACGAATTTCGCTGTTTTGAAGGAATAATTAAAATACCATGGTAAAGAAAGAACTCCCCCCTCCCCCCCAAAAAAAACAAAAAATAAAACGGGAAGAGAAATTCTCTGAAAATGTCGAATAATTAAACGAATTTTCATGCTCGATATATTTTCTTTCATTATAAATAGTATATCTTTTTTATTTCTTTGTCTTTCTTCTCGAGTTTTGAATCGTTTCATTGTTTGTTATAAGTTGATATTCATTATGAATACGTGTAGGTACAAATATATAAATATTGAAAATTATATAAGTTATATAGATATTAATTTTTGTAATTAATATTTATATCAACATCATGTGTCTACAACCCATGTAGAACTATGTAAGTTACTATTAACTCCATTCGCATATTGAATTCAATAATTATCATTAATATGTAATATAATATAATGCATTCAAATAATTTTGAAATTTACGTAATAAATATACTTATAATTGTAAACATATTATAAATGCATACTATACTATATACGATATATATTATATATATATTATATATATTATATATATCGTATAGTATGTATTTATAATATGTTTATAATTATAAATACATTTATTACGTAAATATTAGTAGTAAATATTAGTAATGTTAATTAACTATATTATATGTTAATACATAATATGTATAGTAATACTATTATATGTTATTATACATTATATGTTAATATATAATATGTGTAGTAATGTTAATTAACTATATTACATGTTAATATATAATATAATATATTAGTATATTTAAGTATTAATATATTAGTATTATAAAGTATTAGTATTAATATATATAATATACTAATATATTATATTATATATTAGTATACCATATTATATTATATGTTAATATATAATATAAAATAATATATAATATATTAGTAATGTTAATATATATAATATATATGTTAACATTACTATATTAGATATATATGTTACATATATATTACGCATTAATAAGTATAATTTGATTCTTCTTAAGCGAATATAATTGACAGATAAAAGATGCGACGGAAACCAAAGAAGATCCTCTTTTCTGTTTATCTTTTCTGTCGAATATTTTATTCGTTCCTGTGCGGTGAACCAGCCATAGGAAAGAAAATCGTAGGTGTAGCTTCCACTTTAAGCGTTGCGTCGTAAAACTTAAACGAGATTGCAAGACGGTATCGAGATGGTCGAAGTATCGCGAGCTTGCTCAGTCTTCTCTCAGAAAGTTGAAACACGTGCACGCGCGCAAAGAGCGCACACAATCGGCCGTTGTCTCTTCTCGGACAGTTTATGTCTCGACCATCACCCTTTACTCGTCTTTCCTCGTCGTTCTCGTTCCTTACGATGCATTATTAACAGGCTCGTCGTTGACAACGTCGTTGACGACGGCCACCACGCATAAATCACTAAAATAGTTGAGCTTCGTTGAACGAATCTCGTATGCTCAATTGACAGAGAATCGAGTTCGTACGTATGTACAGGGTGGGCGAGAAATCTTACTTCCTACTGAAATGAATCCGTAATGTTTGATTTAATTTTTAAAATTAGTAGAATTCGCCCCACCCTGAGAAGAGACGAGGAAGAGATAAATTCTCAAGGAAAGGATGTTTGACTACGTCTGAAAAAGTGTTTCGATTATTATATCATTCGAGAAAGGAGAAATCCTTGTCCAAGTATATCAGATTTAAGTGAATTTTTTTTTTCGTAATTTGTTATCATTGAAATAGTTTTGTAGCTCGTGATTGTATTTATTTAATTGACGGAGAATCAAGTTCGCATGTTTGAAAGTGAAAAATGATAAATTAAGATAGAAGGATTTTCAATCGTCGACTTACATGGATGTTGTACCATATATGTTTGATGGAATTAAGATCTCGGATAATTCTACTTTTAGAAGTTACTCCCGCCAGGAATCGGCGAATTTTATTAAGAATTTATAAGCTCTGGAAGATCACACGACGAGAAAGATCACAAATCTTGAGAATTGCACGGTGCGACAATAATTTTAGCAATTACTAAGCGTTAAAAATCAATGACAGCTAATTTCAGCGCGGATCATTAGGAGCTGAAAATCACACGATGCCATAGTGATGCTATTAATTTTTAAATGTTGTGATTTATAATATTAATGAAATATTTTATAAAACAACAACACAACTGTCACGTGATATTATATACGGCTTTGAATAAGTAAAATTTTTTTAAGAAATTTTAGTTGCAAAACGAATGAAAGCACTTCTGAAAGAGGAACGTTTACAAACTACAATTTGTAACTTGTCAATATCTATCAGTGTTACTACTTACAATTGGCAAATTATCGTGTGAACAAAATCTTGGCCAATGATTTTGAATGAATTTTTGCAACGAGTTTTCAACAAAATGTCATTACTTGAGTTGTAAAAGTTGGACAAATATTTGACATTTTGTCAAATTGCAGAGTTCCAACGTAGGTATAATAAAATCTATGAAATATTGTATAGTAGCTACGGAGAATTTTTTTTCTTTTTTTTTCTCGTTTTAAATTCGATCGAATCGATGGTTTTTAAAGTCGTTCACCGACAGCATAACTTTCACACAACATCACATAGATTCTGGATTCTGAATTTTTTTCTCTTCGTTTTTTTAAAACGAAGCCACTGACGCCAGTAGCATGCGTACATTCTGCGGAATAGATTTTCAAAAAACTGCAGTTCATGAATAGGCAGAAAGGTATATATATATATATATATACTGTTATATAGACTGTTACGTTCGTGGATTGTAGTGCAATTGAAAAATGATTGGTTGTCTGTGATAAAATAGATGAAGCTATATACATTGTAGAATTTGTTTGTCCATTCTTTTTTCAGAAAAGTCTTTTTAATCGTTAAGTGGAACTTTCGAAGTATTAATGTTAATTATTTCTCATTTCGTTCGAAGTTTACAAAATTATTTAATTGTTAAATCTTTAAATTACATTGTTTTTAATTTTATGCATCGAAACTATTATTTCTTACAAATACTGAATAAAATCATGTTAATATTATTTGTGCAGGAAATGACCGAATTATTATATTTGATGTGATTTGTAAAATATTTTATCAATATATGGAACAAAATTTACAGACGAGACAATTTACTTTGTTAGTTGACAATATTTTTATTCAAAGACTTGCTACTTTTTTTTTTTTTTGTTTTTTACGTTCGTTTCGTTTCCGAACGAAATCCACATAAGATTCCAACAAATAAGTTCGTCAAATTAAATCAACTTGCACGCGATAGAAAAATCGAATCGACTAAAGCCAACAGTATTAAATCGTTTAAATTAAACAAAATTAAATCATATCAAACTATATCGTTTATACCAAATCAACAGTGTCTGAATATTAAAAATCAGTTTTCACCAAGTACAAAACAAAATCATCCCTCCCGCAAGAAGTCCGTTGCCAAACCAAAGCCAATCATTCACAAAATACAAACATAGAAAGAGAAACGATCAGAAAGCCTTTTTCTCGAACGCGGACAGATTCTTCGTCGTCAGCTCCGACTTTTTCTCCGCCATGTCCAACAGATCCTGCACTTCTTGCACCTCGACGGACGACAAAGTGGACTCGAGGTCCGGCAGAATGGCGTCGGTGAGGCTCAAAGAGGCCAACTGCCCTATATCCGTGTTGTCGCGATCCGACAGCACTCGTTTCAACCTCTTGATATACTTCTTTAATCCGACCTGCATCGCTATGCCGGCCTTCGAGTCGCGGCGAGGCAGCTTCAAGCCGTCGTCCTCGATGTTGCTCTCCCTCGTCTCGCTTTTCTCCGGTCTTCCACCCCTCGAACGCTTCCTCTCGCTCGTCGTCGCCGGCTTTCTCGGCCTGATTCCCATCGATCGAGCGCCAATCACATTATCGCGTAAACCGGCGTTCACCCTCGTTGAGTCGGTCGTCGTCGTCGTTCTTTGTTGCGAGCGTTTCGACGCGGCGGCGTTGGAAAGGTTGCTTCCAGCGGTGCTCGTTGATCCGAAATCCCAGCCTCCTCTCCGATTAACGTCGACTCTTCCTGTCTTCTCCTCTCCTCGCTTGCCTCCGAGCAACACAGATTCGGTCGTCGTGTTTCGACCGCTCGCGCGACGACTCCTCTCTGCCTTCGCTCGCCGATTCTTAACGTTCTCAGAGTCGAACGCTCCGACTTTGTTCTCGTTCTCCTTGCTCGACTTGTTCTCCTCCCCTCCTCCCACAGGAAGTCTCTCACTGTTTTTGTACCTTTTATATCTGTCGAGATTCGCGAGATTTTTGCGAGGCTGTTGGCCGAAAAGCGACGTGTCGGCGGAAAGTTCGAGTCTCGCTGGCTGTTTCGACGACATGGGCTTGACAGCCGGCGAACCTTGTTTCCCGTCGCCTGCAACTTCCTCGAGTTTCGCCGACAACTTCCTCGAACGTTGCTCCTTCCTCTCGTTCGTCGCCGACCCAGTCCGCGCTAACCTTGGCGCACCAGCGATCTCTGTCGAGGAATCGATCGTTTCGGGCACTCGGACACTCGGATGGTTCGCATCGTGCGAACATTGCTCGTTGGAAACGCGTCTCGATGAATCGTTTCTTTTATCGGTGAAGTTAACCGTGGTCTCTGGCGACCATTCAGTTTCACTTTTGATCGCTTCCAGCTTGCAAACACGATCGTCTGACTTATCAGGGATATTCTGATTAGACACGTGTCTTCCAGCGGACGAGTTAACAGCAGGATTTGAATTCAAAGTGTCTGTTAACTCTTCAGTCTCGCTCTTGATCGCTTCCAGCTTCCCCGTTCTATTTATATTTAGCACACCAAGAGCATCCTTCGATACATCCTCCGCTTTCCCCGTTTGGTCATCCAATTTGCCATCGTTGAATTTCAAACCATTTTCAACGTCAACCTTGTCGCTGCTCCTGCTAAACCCGCTCAAATCCACGCTCGTCTGATCGACGATGTTCAAGTTCCGACGGATTGACGACTGTTTGCTGGTTCGTTGTTTGCCCAGGAAGCTAGGTTTCCTTCTCCTCGACGCTTTGTGCATGTTCGACGAGGCTTTGCCAGGGCTCCCGTACTTCTTGTTGAACGATGTTCGCGGATTCCCTGTCAACCAGGGCAAAACTCCAGGCTTCTCTCCGGTACGCCGCCTCGAGGCAACGGAAGAGTCGCGAGACCTGGCGGAATTGTCGTCACGGGCCTTGCTGGACTCGCTGCGAACGCTCTCCGTGTCGACGGAGCTGATCGTCGTGCAGTTGGTCGATTCTCTCTCGGCCCCGTCGATCGACGACAGAGTCTCTCCTCGTCTGTCCTCGCGTCTCTGCGAGCCCGAGGGCGTGTCTTGCTTTGAGCTGACGGAATCCGTGCTGGAGTTCGCCTTCGAGGATCTCTTCTTCGCCGAGGATCGTCGCTGCGTGAATCTTTTTGACGCTGTGGAATCGGTGCCCGTGCTCGATGGTCGTCTCGGCCTCGGCGACTTTAAATTCCTTCCCGCGATCGGATCTACAATTCGCGCGAATAATCGCAGATTACTCGACTCGATTTGAATCTGCCCTTTTTAGAAATGTTACTGCGTCTCGCGAACACGCGAAACCTGGGTGTTTCGAATGCCTTCGAGACTTTGATCTTTCAGAGAATGTTTCTTTTTCAGGAAGACTTTCACACTGTCTACTGAATTAAATGCGCGTACGATTTAAAAAAAAAATTTGCGAGTTTCTTTTAAACGAATTATACCGAATTGAATAATTTTTATTCCTTAAGCATGTGTTTGGAACGATTCATTTTTCATTCGCCGACTTGTTCAGGAGAATCGAATAACAATCAGTTCAAGGACATGTCTAAATTCATCTTATCGTACTTTGAATTTAGAATCGCGCGTTATGGAAATTTATAGAAATCAACGGGGATTAGTTGAGAAAATAATTCTCAGTGGATTTAATTACAAAAAAAGCTTCTCTCTGCCACGACACCAACAAACTTTCAAATCCAGCCAATTTACAGAATTGAACAACTTCCTGCAAACTTCTTCCGGAACAGGAAGAAACGGAGAACGTTTCGCTTTCTAGATTTAACAACAAACACGACAATTAACGAGAACTTTCCTCCATTCGTTTCACCCCGCGTCGTCTCATCCACTTTACTTATCGTTCCCAACGATTCTACCTTGCACGACATACCTCGTCTCTTGTACGGCGAGGCCACGGCAGTGTCATCGTGAAACGAGATCCTCGGCGATCTTTCGTCCACGTCCACGCGCTTCTCCATTTCCGTCTGCCTCTCCGCGGTTTCCGGCTTCTGCGTGCCCTTTATCAAAAAGTGATCCAACGGGTGCAGATACTCGGTCTCCTTCTTGCTCATGGCCTTCGTCGCGTCGTAGTACTCCTCCACGAAGTCGAACAGGCTGTGATCGTATTTGTCGTTCAGTCTCACCGCGACGGTTGAGTCGTTGTCGTTCAAATGAATGGAATTGAACACCACGTCCCCCGGTGGTTGATAATCATCGTACTGTCTCCTCAGAGCAGCTTCCACCAGCTTGAATCGGTACGCGTCGTAGTCGAACGCCGATATGTCGACGATCGGTAACTCGGAGTTCGTGGCGACGAACGAGGAGGATTGTTTCAACATCAGGTCGTTCCTCTTGCTCGTCTCGATCGTCAACTCGTCGAACGTTCGAGTCTTCACGGTGTCCTGCTGTCCCGTTCTCACGTTATTGTCGCCGCTGGCTTGCAAAACTGTCGGCGTGGATATCGTCCTTCGCGCCGAGCCCAGATGAAGATCCACGCTGGAGCTCGAGGTCGAGTCGAACGTCGAGGCCGGATAATGCGTCGTCACCATGGCATCCTCGTTCTCTCCTGGCTCGCAGAGGTTGTTTGCCTGTCCTCCGTTCTCCCTGGCCCTCGCACTCGTCAGTTTCGTCGAACTATCCTACTGGCGGGGGACCGCCCGGTGTAGACATTCGATATTCCGACGGTGTGCGCAAACAGACCAAGTTCGATCAAGTTGCCGCGTGCAATAAACGAAAGCAGAGAATTTTTGATTGGGTTACGTGGCGTGCGGCGTGTTTTGGTAGGGG